ATTTTAAAGTTTAATTGCATTTAATTATAATAAATATGTGCCGTTTTGTTAGATAACTTACTGCAATCTTGTAGGTAATAACATAATCCCGTTGCTGTAAAAATCTTGGAATTTTTTTATCAAAAAAATGCGACAAGTTGTTTTGACAGTTCTCTCTTAATGTTAACTACGCAAAGAATTCTGAAAAGACCGAAACTGGGGAAAATCGGAGGGTGCAAGGTCAGGACTATATAGTGGATGCATTAACACTTCCCAACCAAGTTCTCTCAATTTTTGTTGAGTGGCCAAAGATGTATGTGGTTTAGTGTTATCATGATGAATGACCACTCCTTTTCTGTTGACCAATTCAGCCAATTTTCTCTTGAACACAATTTTTTCGCGACTTGAGTTGCATTTTTCCCTTTTTTGTAATAAAACTGGCGGGAAAAAGTTTTTTACTTTTTATTTTTATTTTTCTTAATGTCTTATGTGTATTGATATTAAAATCAGCCAGATATAAACAGTACAACCAAAGAGATTTTTCTTCAACTTTATACAAACAAAATTCGTAGTAAATTAACTATGAATTAAAATAAATATAAATTTTATTGAATATAACTAAGTTGAAGGTAGCCCAGGCTAATATCATTGGGACGTTAAAGACTTTTACGTCGTACGTACGAAGAAAGTTAAATTAGACGCTATTAAATCGGTAAAATTAGCTTACTTCGAGCATTATTAGAGCTCCAAGTAAGCCTTTTTTATATTTAGAATTGACTTACTTTTACAAAAAAAATAAATTGTAGTTGTCGTTAACATGTGGTGGTGTAAAAGAATTCATCACATTCCGTAGGTGTCGTAAAGGTTGACTAAGGGAAATCCTACAAATGTTAGCCCCCAACAGATAGCGAAATAAGCATCTTGTTGTATGTCAAAAAGTCAAACCAGGGACAGAGAAAAGGGCGGTTTCTGATACCCTGCCGATCCGCCAAATATTTCATCGTCATTCCGCCTGCCAACCTTCTCAACTGTAAGAGACGCCAAGGTTTAGCAGTGGTTATGAGGAATTAACGTTATAATAATTCTTGGATTGGAACGGCTCTGTGAAATGTATTGGTCCCTTGGGAGAGAGATAAAGCCCTAGTGTGGAATGCTACTTGCGTAGAAATTGTGGCGGCTTCTCATCTCAGGGGTACCTTGTTTAGAGTCGGGCGGCATCAGAGGCAGCTGAACTGAGTAAGTGGCGATTAGGAAAAGCAATGATGTACTTATAAGTTATAAAAGCTTGGTCAACAAGACCCATGACCTAATCTACACATAAATTAAATTAAAGTGTTTGTCTGTAATATCCAAAAAATTTCTTTCGATTGAGCTGAGGGTGTTATTCGGATGTCATCAAACCATGAATAACTATTTTTAATTGGGCCAATCTTTGAAATGGTTGAACCCATTGTAATGAAACTTGACGAACAGATGGAGAGCAGTTCCAGGAGAGATCTAGGCTATATTTCATTCGAAATTTTTTAATTTTATTTGTTAAGAAATGGAACAATTGATAAAATAGCGAATCCGGGATGGGCCACTAGTCTTAGAAATATAAAAATGTCAAATCTAGACAAGGTATAAAAACAAAGACATTCTTTTATTCATAGTTTATTGGATGATTGCTTTTTTAAATGTAACCGTGTTACAAAACACAGACTTTTTTTATTAAATCTATCTTCATAATTATTTTTCAAGACTGATGTATAAACGAACGTGTATAAAATGATAACAATAAACAAACACCAATCTAACAATAATAACCTAAACAATTTAACATATAATTACTATCAACAAAATTCGAGTTATCGGTGGGAAATCAGGTTAAAAAATATTTTTAAAGTGAGAAATATGTCAAATTAAAAATATCTTTTTGGGAAATAAAGATAATTTAACAACAAAATATTGAATTGACTCCTTATATCTTAACGTAAATGTTAAATTTTGACAATTGGTAGAAAGATAAGCAATGATAAAAATGGAACATAATCGAAACAAAGCTACCGATGAGAAAACCTATCAGAAATGTTTTTCGCTAGTATAAAAGAAATGTGATCTAAATTAAAAACCTAATACAGTATTCGCGTATTATATAAATTTATGCACGAAAAAAAAGAAAATTACGGTCAAAAATAATAGGTTACAAGTACAGAAAAGAATTATAAGCTCGAAGTTTGATGTCTAAAATTACGAATACACCTTTATTTAAAAAAGAACTAAAATTAAATATTATTTATTAAAAAAATAATAAAAACATACATATTATATGATTAAATCCAACTTCTGTTAAAAATGAAGTCACATATTTGCTCTCTTTACAGTAATAACAACTTACATAAAAATATTTACACGTGAAAATATAAACATAGAAATATCATAAAAACAGTTTATGTGGTAATTAATATTGCATCTTTCATTTGAATAAGGAATACTACGCTAATGTTTTAATAATGTCAGTCTAAAAACTTCGAATGCGATAAAAAACAAATTCCTTAAATCGTAATTAATTAATAATCGCTGACTAAGAATATATAATATAGTGATGTGTAATTTTGAAGTATATTATATACAATTTTATTAAGCTAATTGGGACATAATATACAAACCATGTTTATTTCATTAGGTTAGATTAATAACCACAATTTTTGATTAAATAAATCCAGCCATAATTTCGTTAGATATTTATATAAAATATGTAAAAATAAACTGTTATGAGTTTTTTTTATTAAATTTAAGTTAATATATGATCCATATTTATTTAATGAAAAATATTATGAGGATAATTGTTATGCAAATACATTTGAGAAACATCGTCTGTAGTTGTTTATTTATTGATTACAATAACAATGAAATAATAGAAACATCTTAGGTTACACGGACTGTTTGGAAAATCTCAAAAAAAAAAAAGAAATAAACACAATATTATGTTTGGCTTCTCGGGTTATAAAACGGAATAGACGTAAATATTTAAGACATTCCTGGTAACTTTTTATCGTTTTCTTATTTCAAATTTTACGTTGTTTTAAATTGAAAACCATTTACAAACTGTTACTAATCTTCTACATATAAGACAATAACACATTCAGGTATTTGCTACTCTATGATATGTTGTTTATTCAAAGACGAGACTATTCAGAAGTCTTAAAAATAAATAGGAATAATAAGGGAATGTATATACGATATGTATTCGTAATACGATGTAATATATGTATATACGATACAATTCTTATGTAATATCCTTGTATCTTCTTCCATATGAAAAATTTTGCTTTCTTCAAGCTGAGCAGATTTTAGATCATTTTGTATCATTCAACACTGTTATAATAAATTACACTTGAAAGCTTTAAAACCGTAATAGATCGTTGGTGCATCAAAGTGATATTGTCTCCAACAGAACATAAAAAACTGCTTTTTGTCCCTTCTGTGATATGCCCGCTTCATAGATTTTGAAAACAATAGCTTATTTATTTAAGAAAAATTTCTTAGAAATGTTAATTGCATAATTTTTATGTTAGTACAATATAGAATATAACATATTAGCACTATAATAAAGTAGTCAAGGAAACCGTACGCTCTTTGAGAATGATTTTTAATTTGATGACTTAATGTATTTTTAAATTTCAAACGATTCTAAAAGATCTTACAATACTTGGGTAGAAAAAATAAAGAATGCCTGTTACATAATTTTTCATTTCTCAACTTGCATCATTATGGTCGTAAGCAACTACAAACCAAAAGAATGACGCGCATATGTACATTTTGAAATCTAAATATAACAATTTTTAAAAACACGTTAGTTTTATATCTTTACAAACACCTAAAGTATTATTTATATTATGTATGGCCTCTTACTTTATTCTAATTAAAATATTACCTACTCGTGTTTTTATATACAGGTTTGACTTTGTCTAATTTTTACATTTGGCTTATTTTCACACGTATTAATTTTGTGCTATTAGAAATCACTCTGTTTCCTTATGCAATTAAGACATTCATATTTTGTTATTCAATCGCAAATATTTATGTCAAATTCTTTCATTAAATAATTGATATGTGTTTGAATATAAGTTTACGACTAGTTCTTTCCTTTTCATCGTATTTTGAATATTTTGCAGTGGTGACACATATTATAAAAATGGTACCTAGTTCAGTCAAACCAATCAATGTTAATACTTTGGTGAAAAATTGTTAAAAATCTTTAACTGTTCGATTTCGTAACAGAAAAAATGTAGAGCCTGCTGTTTTTTTGAAGTTATACTTATTTTGGGGCGTTTGTGAAAAATAATGAGAGTGAATTTTTACGATGGGCGCGCACACCGACACCCGACACCTAACAACGACACCATGAAGTTGTCACCTAAAAGAGACAACCTCAGTGGGTAATTCTAAAAAAGTTTTTTGCTTTGTTACGATAAAAAGGTATAACTTCCTACGTCCGTACATAAGTACACACACACTTTTTTTATTTGTATTTAACACAACGTCGAATGAAGTTTTATTAGTACTTTTATTATTCGTAGTAATTGGGTTTAGGTTTTCAAAACCAAAATATAAATTGATACCAAATTTTGCCCATAATATCAATTTTTTCAACTGTCTTCACTATTTAACATTGCGGTTGTACCTGTCTTGATGCATGGCCTCCAAGCTTCAATAAAACATCGGTTGTATAATGTGTTGAAACCTAAAGTTCAAACAGTATCCCACTTAATTTTGAACTAAATATTTGCTTACCTGATCCTTCTTTAATGTTAACAATTTTTTTATTGGAAGAACATTTTATATTGTTTATGTTATATTAACAACTGTCTATTTTTTCTAACACCAATCATGTACATCACTTTCATTGTCACTTGTAATAACACAACTAGTGAATCAGTCTTTTCAGCTTACACACTATCAGGGCTGTCCCTCTCTTGCATGGACGTAGAAGGTCGCTCCCAATGCTGTAGAGGCCTGGCCGGGAGCGGCACCGGTCTTCATATAACGTGCTGGGGCGGTTCTTCATCGCTCTTCATAAGGACGTACGCCAGGGGTCGCTTCACTTCTGTTGGAGGGGGTGACGGTGTCCTCCTTGGAGGACATCCGCAAGGTGAGAGGGCGTTGCTGTAAAACGCGCTGCTGTATAACGCACCGCCATATAGTGCCTGCAGAAAAACGTAACATTTTAGTACATTGATTATCATAATTTTTCTACCGACTTCAAAAAGGAGCCGTTATTCAATTCGACTGTATGTTTTTTTATGTGTGTTACCCATAACTTTTTACTGGGTGAACCCATTTCAATGATTCTTTTTTTATTTGAATGCTGGTGCTTCACATGTGGTTCCAAATAAATGTGATCAAGGTCTGACCAATATTTTTTGCGTTATTCTTAATAATTTATATTGAAGTCGGTTGTACAAAATTTTTAATTTGAAATTATTTATCAACTGGATGTAAAAATAGAAGAAACAAGGGGTAAAATTAAAAATTTTGTATGAACGACTTCAATTTTTGAGTTATCTTTAATATACATTATTAAAGATAACTCAAAAACTACTTGACAGACCTTGGTCAAATTTATATGGGAATACATGAGTTACAACAGCTATCAAATAAAAAAAGAATTATCAAAATCGGTTTACCTAAAAAAAAGTTATGAGGTAGCACACATAAAAAAACAGTTGAATTGAGTACCTCCTCCGTTTTGAAGTCGGTTAAAAATTAAATTAGAGTTTTGCTTCAATGTACATATTCGTTTTGGAATGTATGCTCGTTTATCTGAAATCTTGTCCTTTTCTATTCACGGGGAAAATCTACCCTTGAATAGAAAAGGCCAATCATATTCAGCAGTAGACTGTTACGCCCTTAAAAGAGAAGTGAATAATATTATTTAAATTGAAAGTGAGAACATTTAAATTTCTATTCTTTCTGAAAACGTTTAAATTTTGATATTCGCAGTTATTATGCAATATTTACAGTGTGTTTAAGTCTTCCTTTATAAAATGTAATGCGGTATACTTCTGTGACAATGACTGAGTTTCAGTGAATTTTAGGCGGAGAAATTTAAAGTTTATGTTACTTAGCATACAGACACTAGTAATAAAGTCATCTATGCCCAAGGTCATTAACTCTTATAGTACATTAGTCTAATAGTTAAAGATATAGACTAAGAGCCCGTGTTCGTCACACCTTCTTAGTTATTTTATAACAGCTAACAATTTGTCAGCACATGCTCCCAACATAGGTAGGCACCATTGTGCCTACCTATGTACTACTATGAAGTTTGGATCATCGTGGCTTTGGCAGGTAACGGGTAGCAGAGGTGTATAAAATAGCAAATTAAATTTGTCCATATTTTCTTCGGAATAATATTAGAATTAATCACGTCATCCATTGCCAGCTACTTAATATCGTGCCAACCCCTTGCCAGACACACAACTACACAGATTCTTAAGACTGCCATTAACAATTTTATTGGTGCTAGCGAGAGTCGAACTTTTTATTATTGAATAAGGGTGACAAACTGGCACACACTGAACCTGATGATTAGTAGACCTAGTGGATGCTGTGACCCATAGACATCTACATTTTTAACAGTGGTAGAGCCACGCGGCAGCTTTTGCTATCGCACGGATGGGCCGGCTCGAACCGGGGTAGTACCACGACCTCACAGAAAACCAGCGTGAAGTAGAGGCTTACCTCTGCGTTTCGCTTGGTGAGTGCAAGTGGCCGGAGGCCCTTTTTACTGGAAATGAGGGATTCCATCTTAGTCATCACGGGTGACAACGCATCTACATTTTGATTTGTAACAGAGGATAGATGTAGATGTCTATGGGCCGCAGCAACCACTTACCATCAGGTGGACTGTGTGCACGTTTGTCACCTTTATCCTATAAAAAAAAAATTCTCAATTAAGAATCGTTGTCACCCCTGAAGACTAAGATGGAATGTCTAGTTTCCAGTAAAATGGGTCGCCGGTTTTCTACACTCACCATACGAAACACAGCAGCATTAAACTGCTATTTTAAGCTCGTATTCTGTGAAAGCGTGATCCTTTCTCGGTCGAGCCTTATAGTGTTAATTTGAAAATTAAATTATATACAGCCATGATATAGCTGCAGCTTGGCTCTACCACGTTAGAACTAGATTAACAATCCAAAGGCAGATGCGTTGTTGCCCCTGACGACTAGGATGGAATGCCTCGTATCCAGTAAAAAGGGTCTCCGGTTCTCTACACTCACCATAGGAAACGCAGCAGCGTGAAACTGCTATTTTAAAAACTGTATTCTGTGAGAGCGTGTACTTTCCCCGGTCGAACCGACTCATTCGTGCTACAGCCATGATATAGCTGCAGCTTGGCTCTACCACGTTAGAACTAGAGCTACCAAGGCTCGTAAGATTATGCTATACCGTGTATGAAATGTAGTAAGCGCCACCCACCTGCAAATGTGCCAGCTCCGCTGCTAACTTTCCGTCATCTGAAGGTAACTTTGCGAACGGATAGAAGGGGTATGGTAGCGGTGGAAATAGTGCCCTCCCAAGATCAGGTTTCTCGGGCAGAAGGTGGTGTGGCATTGGTATCTGTGGCATCGGATGTTGTAGGGACGGCGTGATCAGACGCGGTACGGGCGCCATTAGACCGCTGATACCGAAACCGAATTTCGGTTCCTTCTTCACCAGCGCCTTCGGTTTCCTACGTGGTCGGTATTTGTAGTCGGGATGTTCTTTCATATGTAAAGCCCTGTAGAACAATACCATACTGTTAACATAACATCTTATCAAAAGTCCACTGCTGAACATAGGCCTCAAACATAGATTGATGGGAGATGCTACTTTTCATCTCCTGTGTTATTTCCCTCTGTCGCATCTCATGATGATTACATGGTAGTGGATTCTTTTACAACGTCAGTACACGGCCCAAGAAAAGGCAAGTTGTAGAACAGTAAGTTATATGTAAAATGTTGTTGCACAAAAAGTAGGTATCCATTCCACGTACAGTTTAATATTTTTTTAACAAACAAATTCACATAGTATATATATATATATATATATATATATATATATATATATATATATATATATATATATATATCTGTATGATTTATATATATAAATCATACAGTATAAAAATTGAGCAAAATTAGAACAAGTCTAAACAAGCCATCGTGCAGTTTAATAATTTTTTTAACAAATTAATTCATAGGATCTATACTTTCGTACGGTATAAAAATTTAGCAAAATTAGAACAAGTCTAAACAAGCCATTCACAATCCAAACTAATGTTAAAACACCAATTTATCAAAAGTGCATTTTATGGGTTGGATATTTCTGATATAACTACGCATAATCATGACATGAATATTATTTGCAACAAAATATTTCATTATTTTGTCCATAAAGATACAACATTTAATTATTTATGGGGATAAATCTTGTCAATAATAAACATTTTACTATTATATTATATTCTAGGAAAATTATATCTTTTGTATTTTTTACGTATAAAGGCTATAACTTTAACTTTTATCTTTATTAATACCATACTTGATAATAAAAATTAAAATGTGTATACTATACTTTCAGGTAGGTACTTCAGGTAAGATAAGTAGGATAAGGTGATTTATTTGTTAGAATATGGTACATTTAAGTTGTTATAAAATAATTTAGATCCTAAATATTCTGCAGTTTTCTGCTTACAAATATTTTCAGACAGATTATGTTAGAATATAATAGAAAACTAAGACATTAATTATCTTCTATACATATAATAAAACTGTAAATAGCAGATGTCTGTACATTTTATATTTTTGTAATAAAAGTGATTGAGGGGTACTAAAAATAAGTAATTAAATACATTTCTACCATTTTTAGAATTTTCTGTCTGTCTGTCTGTCTGTCTGTCTGTCTGTCTGTCTGTTTGTTTGTTAACGTATCACGTATAAAGTACTAATTTATATCATAAGAATTGTTAAGGAAATTATAAAGTGTATCTTCGGGTTACATTTAGTCTTTATTTCATTAAAATCAGTTCATTCCATCAAAAGTTATGATAAATAATCTGAAGTATGGGTAGGGAAGTATAGGTACGAATTTGCTCAACGGTGGCTTTGTTTGAGTCATGAAGTGCATTTTAAACTAATATCATATCATAAATCATAGTTAAATTATGTAAAATAATGATATAATTATGTATATCTAAAACGCAGTAAACAAAAGTATTAAAGAACGTATTAAATATATTATACAAAAATATATTAACCTTATTAACTAAATCTGAAGCACAATAGTTAACCCATTTCTTCGATAGATGGTGGTGTTGTGAAAATGTAATGCAATTGCAATGTGGTTTTTTCCTGTAGATGAGTTTTCATATTTACTGCTAATCTTTATTATATTACTCGCTGCCCTACTGCGTGTTGACAAACTCAATTTATTCTTTACCGCCGAGTACTCTATGTGGTAAATCAAATTTTAAAAGAGCTATTAACAATTGCGTTGGTTTTGGCGAGAGTCAAACTTTATTTTTTGCTTGATTTATAAGTTCTCTTGCGTTTTTTATAATGTATCAATCGCGTCAATTAATCTCTTTTATTTTTAGAATTGATGTTAGCAGCGCCATCTCTCTTTAAATATATACATATAATAAAAATGATGATAACATGTTGTGTCTCTTTCTGTACATTGTATATATATTTTGGTGGCTAAAATCTTTATGGGGAACTGAAAATAATTAAATAAGAACATTTTATAATTTTTAGAATTGTCTGTCTGTCTATTTGTCTGTTAATATATGAACGCATCACGTCTAAAGTAAACATCTTTTATTTTCAAAGAAATCGTTAAGAAAATCATAAAGCGTATCTTCGAGTTACATTTAATCTTTGTTTTATTAAAATTGGTTAATTCTATCGAAAGTAATGATTATTATTTTGAAATGTAGGTTCGAATTTGTTCAATGGCGCCATAAAATCTCAGAAATAGTAATAAAAAGATTTGTGTGTAAAAAAACGTTCCATAATAATTAATATATTTATACTTAAAACACAAAAAGAGATTTAAAAAGGATGTTTTCTCACACAAAGGACGTAATAGATGGAGTTGTACAAATTACAAACTTTTCTGAATTGCTGTGTTGAGATTTTTCGCCGATGAATCGTATTGAGACTTACTGAAGAAATTTGTATCCATCGAAGCCATACAACGGAACCCGATCAAAAATAAAATTTTTGCAACGAAATGTCGTGATATTGTATTTATAATATATGCAAAATCAGTACTGCCATTTTAGCGCTTTGGGAACTAGATTTAGCGCTTTTTTGGAATGTATAGCGCGCATTTCGAAATTTTAGCACCTAGCTTAATCCAGCGCTTTTTGGTGTATTTAGCACACATTTCAATATTTTAGCGACTAGCGGGTTATTAACTCTGTTATAGCAGCACTGTTAGTCCACATTACCGATAATAATAATAATGACCTTTATTATTTTTTCCCACAAATAGTACATTGCAGTTTATCTTTTTCAAACATATTTTTTCCACAAAACAAAGAGCATGGGAGACGAGTCCAAACTAGGATACCCTGTGCTATGGATCTCCTGGCTTCCCCTTTAGGATGATCAACTTGATTTTTTTACCGACGACTATAAGCGGGGAAATTCCCTTTATTAAAGTTTTCGTTCATGGTTTTGGCAACGCATTTATTTTGCTTTATTCAGTTTCAGTCAGTTGCTTAGAGCACAGCTAAGTTAAAAGTTACATAGAAGATATAACACAAAGAAACTGTGTAGCAACCGCAATCAGATGCTGACATCTGAAACTAAGTTGCGAAATACATTGCACTTTAAAACAATTAATGACATTTTTATTGTTCGTACAGTACTAACTACTGTTGACAGCAATTGCCATAATTATAAGTCGATGTCCTGCGAAGTATTGATACATCAAAAAAATATTGCCAGAAAAAAACTTAATGTTGTTTTCTTTATTATGATTACGTAAAAAAACACAAACTTTGTTTGTAGTTAATTTAGCGCGAAATCTAGGGCTTTTTTAAAGCGCTGTTTTCATGAAATCTAGCGCTTTTTGTGTTGTCCCAGAGCTGAATGAGTTTTTTTTTATCTGGCAGCACTGCCCAAAACCCTCTATTAAGAAGTAACTTTCCTTTCAGTTTTAAGCGCGTTCAGTTCCCAGTTACAGTGAGCGTGTGTTATGCGATGACGTAAATAAAGCGCAAGGTCAAACTTTACGCGTTGTAGGAGTGTACCTCAGTACTGACTGTTTTGCACATGGCCAACTCTATGTTGCTTTTTCCCGCGTTAGTAGCCCCCGTAACCTTTTTGTGTACATCCCGGCTAAGCCTACTTCTAACGTCGTTTACACAGAAGCTCTATCATAAACGACTTAGAACTTTGATGATAATGATTTATTTAGTTACCACTTATTGATACAGTAATGAAATAAATCGTTTAATATTCTCCTACCTAAACGACAAATTCTTTATGTAAAACCTGTATACGCGAGCTACGCCGCGGGCACAGCTAGTTATAGAATATAAATATACTTACAGCTATACTTAAGGAAACTAAATAGCATCTATATAAAAACAAAAATGTCAATCAATTAATTCATAATTTTTTTAGTTACAATTCAAGTCAAATTTATCTTTTAAGAAGTCATTTATAGAGTAATAACATTTATTTAAAAGAAATTGAAATAATTTACTTAGGTACCACCGTCTCACCTATTTTTACAGCTAAATAGCAGTAAAAATAGGTGAAAATAACTGCTGTGTTCCGGTTAAGAACTCGAGAGAGAAAGAACTCAATTAAGAACGAGACTATGAGGCATTTTAGTCCTCAGATGTCAACGCATCCGTAGCCTTCTTTGTTGGAAGTTGTTTGAATGCGTCCATGGGCTGCAGTAACCATTACAATCAGGTGGACTGTACGATTATGTTCGTTTGTCACTTCAGTTTAAAAAAAACCCATAAAAGAGAAAGAGTTACTCAGAAAACAGTAAAAGAGCCCTTGTCTAGAAAAGTGCGTCATAGATTTTAATAAAATTATCAGATATATTTGTTACAATATGGCACAAAATCACAACATTAGTATCAACTTTTATTATTTAATTTTCACAAATTCTATAAGCACGCCGACAAAACGGCACAATGAAATGCCACTGGACAAAATAACATTATTATTTATGCAATAAAGCGCACAATTGTCGCGAGCGCGCACCGCCCTTAAAACAACAATGTCGATTCAACAATACACGGATTATTGCATTGTCCGAATCACAATCGAGTGTTATTCCATACCCTTCGCTATGTACGTCACACGGTCAATAAAATGTTAATCTAATGTTCATAGAATATAAGGTTTAAATTTGAATGTGGGTGTGGGTTGTTGCTACGTATAGTGCTGGGGTGTGAGGCGACACTGCGTCCGATTATGCGAGCTTTGTCATAGAATCGCGCGATTGTCAGCGAGTCGTTTGTAATTATTCGAATGGACTGAGGGAGAATGATAGTTCGAGTTCAGAATGCTGAGGTTTTCGGTACTGTTTGTTGAATGTATTTATTTGCACTGTATTTTCCGTGTGATTAGATCGGGATTAAATTGGAGGCATGTTGGCATTTTATCGCTGTATTTTTGGACTTGAACCACGACAATTGCTAGATATTTTTAGGGGTGGTTTTAAAAAGACAAACGCGCACACAGTCCACATGATGGTAAGTGGATG